TGCTTACTCATATTTCTATGTATTCATCCCATATGCCTTTAAACATACTGTTTATCATGTAATCTTTTATCTTTCTTCTTTATCAGTCTACCTACATAGACATATACATAAAATATCTGTAAGTAAATAATGTCTTAGGACAGTGTATAAAAGTACAGAATTAGGTTGGGCGGGCTTCCTTAAAGTATAAAATTAATGTTTGACAAAGTCTGATAACACTTTAGCTGACTCCCACAATGGCTAGATCTGTCCATGCCACTGGGGCACACTAAGAATAGCTAAAGGATTACCCCATCTTTTCCATACATGGATGGGAGCTTTGTGACTCACACATTATTCACGTTGCATGAAATTCCTGCAAGGAAACAGCTGTGTAAAGCCAGGGAAATCCTTGCATAAACAAGAATTCCACACTGGGGTGGTATTGCCAGCCAGTTCTGAAATAACAGATTTCTTATCAATGGTCCCCACAGGATAAGTGGCATATGGCCGCTAGGAAAAATAGGTTCCTGTCTTATACCACACAGGAAATTCGAGTGGAAGGAGCATAGATTTAAATACAGAGAAGAGTGGGGGCCAGGGAAACCTCTCTAAGCCTATTGGGGAAAAGACAAAAGGTAGGTGGTTAACGCAGCAAAGAATCTGAGTGCGGAAATTACCAGGAGCAGGCATGATGACTAATGGCAAGATGGCATCCTGGGAGAAATCCTGAAACAGAAAAGGGATGTTGGTGAGGACTCCTGGAATCCGAGCATCACTTGGCACGTTGCTAATCCTATTGATGGAACCAGTCTTGAGGTCTTACTTTAGATCTGGGATTCTCCACAGGAGGCAGTTTTACTCCCCGGACAATGTCTGTAGACATCTGAGGCCCGCACACCTTAGCGGGTCGGGGAGAAACACGGCTAGCAACTATGGATGGAGACCAGGAAAGCTCCTAACACTGCTACATGACAGTTGAGATGCTGCTTGCCAAGTGTATTGTGGGTGAGGGATGAAGATGGGCCCAGGAGGAGTTAGAAGCTTGTCAAGGCTACTTGGAAACTTTCCTTGCTCTCTTGTGGCTCTTTGCTCATCTGAAATTATTTAAAAATTAGACGTCTTAACAGCTACAAACTTTCATCATAAATACCATTTTCACTCATTAAAATGTGTGGAGAGTGCTGTAACAGCAGTGTGTGGTGCTCAAGAATGCTTAGTGAAGCTGGAGTTCATGTGGAGACAGCAGCGCTGTCCTTTGGGAATCCACACTCATGAACCTTATGATGATGCCTCTCTGCTCACCAAAGTCCTAGAAATCTTGCTAAGAAAACCACAGGAAATGTTCATATTTCTTCCTAAGGACGTTCATCAACACATTGTTCTAGAATATTTTAAATAAAAATAATCTATTTAATAATAACTTTTTTGATTTTCAAGGTTAAGTAAATTATACAAGAGAAGGCTTTGTAATAATTAGGTATTTAACAGGGAATCACATACAACATAAGTGGAAAATTTATGTATATGGTTTCATTTTTGATTAAAAAAAGGGAAGAAAAGAAAAGAAAAGAATTATATTTAGGGAAAACAAAATTTTGGTGCAATAACAAGAGAATTCACATAACCTGTGGGAAGACTTACTGAGTAGCAGAGTCAAAGTTAACTTTCATCTTTCTATTTTTACTTCAACTTTATTTTTTACAATGCATGATTGACTTTTTTCAATAAGAAATTAAACGGTAAAAGAGAAAAAGCAGAGGAGCTAATATATCTAAACATTTTTCTAAGCATCATTTTCACAGAATGCTAAACCTGGAAGAAACCAGAGCCACCAATAGAGCCACAAGCCACACACGTCTTAATGATGCTCAAAGTGGGCTTGGACACAGAAGAATAGGTCACATTCAGTGACCTCCAAATGCACTGCCCTGTGACATTTCATGTGTTTGGTGGACCATCTCTCCAAATTCCATGGGTGGGGTCTGCTGCTCGACAATTCCAAGTGTTTCTCATGCTCCTGTAAGCCCAAGAGCATTCATACCGATCCACTAGTGCCAGAGAAAATCACATGCTCACATTTTCATGGGCCATTTGAACAAAAACATCCAAGCATAGTCTGTCCAGGCAAAAATACATACGCCTCTATCTTCCTCAACTCCACAACATTCCAGAGTCAATGAAAACACCACTCCACTTTATTTAAACTGCCAGTTTGATCCTTGGAGTAAGAAGTGAATGTATTTTAAATAAAACGATACAATCTCTATCTATTCAACCCATGTGTTCATACATGCAAAAGATAGGGCAGAGCCAGGGGAGCATGTTTCGTACAAAAGCCATCATCATGAGTTTTTACATTTTGCAAGAGCTGAATCTCAAAGTTGGCGCTGGATTTTTTTTTTAAGCAACTTTAGAATTTTGGAAATCTTTGTTGTTGCACTGTCTAAGGCTCTGTCTGAGAAAACCCAAGTTGTTCAGAAAATGCACAGCTCTGAGAAATAGAGAATGCTGAGTGTCTCCTTTTTCTTGTGGTGCCCATATGAATAATGTCATATAATAAATGATAGCCACACACTTAACAAAGGCTTCTGAGAACCCACGGGAGCACAGGGAAGCTGGGTTTGGTGGCACATATCCATGATCCTAGCACTTGGAGAGGCAGAGGCAGAAGGGTCACAGGAAATTTGTTGCAGGATAACCAGGGCTACACAATGATATTCTCTCTCAGAAAAACCAAAACCAAGCAGCCAGTCAACCAACCAACCAACCAAATGTTGAATCCAAGTTGACAGGAGATCCAAGGATGTAGTCCATACATACAAATATTACAATGCATAGAGAAAATGGTTACAGGAAAACTAATTTTGGTAGCTTTTGTGTTCAATTTCTGATTCGATGGACAACCTCCTAGGAGATAATATATAAGTTCCTCCAGTGGTTATGACCAAGGACATTCCCACAGATCATGTGTCACAACAATCAGAGTGGGCAAGAGCAGATAGACACTTCAGGGGGCAAAGTCTAAACCCAATTGTAGTGACAAAAGTTATATCAATTTCAGAAAGAATACCACTATTACACATGTCTGCCCTTCAGGACAACTCAACCTTGAAGAGTCTGTAATAGCCCTAAACAAGGCACATAAAAGAGATAAACTCATCTCCCCAAATGGCTCAAACAAGACAACACTGGTTTGGAGGCAATGGTTCTTACACAGGATCAGCTGATGTGAGATTCCCCTCTGTATACTGTGAATACCATTGGTTAATAAAGAAACTACTTTGAGTCTATAGCAAAGCAGGGCAAAACAGAGGTAGGCAGGGAAAACTAAACTGAATGCTGGGAGAAAGGAGGCAGAGTCAGAGAGCTATGTAGCCCTGCCAGAGACAGATGCCAGAACTTTACCAGGTAAGCCACAGCAATACATAGATGAATAGAAATGAGTTAAATTAAGATGTAAGAATTAGCTATTAAGGAGCTAGAGCTAATGGTCCAAGCAGTGACTTAATACAGTTTCTGTGTGATTATTTTGTGGCTGGGCAGCCGGCAACCAACAAGCGGCCTCCTACAACAATCAATGTTGTATATGTGATGTCCTTCCTGGGTAAGACCAATTTTCTATACTCTCTAAAGACAGCCCCAAACAGTGCACTGAACATGCCCCACTTGTGGACTAGGGCCTTTACCAACATGGATGCTTCCATGTTCTGTGTTCTAATGGGCAATAAATGGAGTACTGATAGCAATATGAAAAGCATTTCCACATTGAACAGCAAACTCTTCTGAAAGCAGAGTTTAAAAAGAATTTGATTCTGTTCCAACATCTTTACCTGTCTCTTGCTTTTCAAAGTTGGCTATCAACACCAGACAAGATCAAATCACACCCAAAGGTCTCAGATTTGCTCTAAGGTTATTGGGGCCAAAGAACAACTTCACCAAGACAGAGGACAAAAATGTATCATTAATTTCTCACCTTTTTGATTTTTCAGTTTCTAGGGTGTCTGTACCTAAAACACTTTTCCTTACGTAACTCATCGCTATTACACTTTGCCCTCCCAGTACTGTGTGCAAGTTCACTTCCGGCAAACAGCTCAGATCACACTGAAGATGAATGACAACTACAGCACAGTGTTGAATCCCACTGTGAAGTCACTCAGGTGGGGAGCTTGATACATGTGAATCGTCCAGAGGAGGTGGTGGATAAGGAACTGAGTGGATTAAAATGCAGTGGGTCCTGCATCCAGAACCCATGGTACCTCTGCTGGTGGCCCTCACCCCTGTTGTGACTCATCCCTGTCTAGACAGCTGCTTCTACTGTTTCCTAATAGAAAAATCCAAACCATTATCTGGTCAGTCTTCTGTTCTTGAATCCGTTTCTCTTTATGAACCCCTGGCAAACTTGAACAAATGGAGCAAAGTAACGACTTTCTCCCTGACATTGTAGAGACAGCCTATTCACACAATGGAAGGTGTTAGAAAACAAAGCATGCGGGGGGTGGGAGAGAAATGGGTCTTGTCTTCTAGAGTAGGGTGATGAAAATGGGAAAATTTGGCTCCTTGGAGATGGAGTAACCTCTGAAGTGTATTTGATGATCCCACCTTATGAAGACCTATCAATAATGAAATAAAACATGACTTAAAACCTTCCACATCTTTATGTAACACATCTCAGTGTTTCCTCTTTCTCCATATTCATTTAACCATCTGAAAGATGACAAACTTGCTCCATGGTAATATTTGACTGTTCTGGCTGACTTCTCAGGGGAAACAGTTAGGAGATCCTCACTTCCCAGTTTGCAAACCAACTGGGGATTCTGGAGTTTTCACAACCTACCTGTTGGTGGTGAATCTTACATGGCTTCCTTCCTTCCCCAGTTGTTAGGTTCAGGTGTGAGGAGAGGTGGTACAAGGGAAGCAGCACAGGGCATTTAAGTGGCCCTGATGTCACATGAGCTGCTTTGTTGGCTCATCAGAATAGCTTGATCTCCACTTAGCACCCAAATATCTACTCTGAGACCCATGGTGGTCTGTAAGGTGGGAACAATGGCTCACACAGTTCCTGCCTTTTCAGAGTGTGCAGCCTAGAAGGAAAAGGGTCTCTGGTGAGTAAAGGGGTCACATTAAAACACTCACCTACACACCTGAGTTTTGTTTCAACACCATAGAATCAGGGAGCAGCCCAGTGCCTAGAACCAGTGCTGACACAGTAAGTCGGAGGGGGGGATGAGAATGGGTGTGCAGTGTGCAGAACTCTGGTATGGAGGCACCAGAAGGTGCTAGAACTGAGCAGATGCCCAAATCCTTAGTGACAATGGTGACCGGCACATGGTGGCAGACTTTGTGGCTGTCAATAAAAGGGGCATCTGGGATGGCTGCTGTGATGAACAGTTTAGGAAACAGGAAAAGAGCAAGAGAGAATTAGACAGGCTTTGGCTAGAAGCTATGAGGTAGCTCTAGAGTCAACGGTGGGTAGGGGTCAGAGACAAAAGCATGTCTCCCTTTGCTTGGCATCACTCCAATCAGCTTCTCAGAATTACCCTGGAAATGCCATTTCTCTGACTGCTACTATGATAGAAAACCCCAGCCTTGTTCCCTCCACAGTGAATTAATTCACTAGGAAAGAAGAATTTGAGCGACCATCTGGTTGACCTCTCCCAATGAAATGAGGAGGACCTTGCAGGCTAATGATCTAAGTTTCTAAGAAGATTATGCTTGAACAGGAGAGGCATATTCTATCAAAAGACCCAGGTGACAGATATTTGGGCTTTGTGGGTTGCACAGTTTCTTTTCCAACTCTCAGCTCTGTCACTATGTACAGAAGTAGCTGGGGGACATTGTACAAACAAACATCAATGGTTGTGGGATTGGGCCGCGTCACTGCCGACACCTGCTGTCTTCAGACTGTTGAGTGACAGGAGGTTCCAGTTTCTATGTGCTTTCACATACACACTCAAACGGCCCCTGTCTCATGCTGTGGCTAACAAATCAAACAAAAACTCATTTCCCCCCATTCTTGCTTCAGAAAAGATAAGAAAATACCAACCTAAGACTGTTTACTTGGTCATGACCATGCACACACCTTATCAGATGGACAGGCTGTGGCTGTAGTGTTAGTGGCAATCTCACTGGGAAGTGCTGCAGACAGGAGCAGCCTCAGGACATCCAGAGGGACGTACATGATGCTGGATAGCCCAATCCCTACAGCTGACAATCCATCTGGTCCATTGGCAAGCCCTGCTGGCTCACCTACAAAACATGCTGAGTCCAAAACAAAAAGGGATAGCTCTGCTTCCCTTGCAGAGGCTAGCTCTTCCTCTATCAGCAATCAGTACTTGCCTGTAACTCACAGGTGCTATCCTATGAGACTTCAGACTTTGGCCCTTCCTAGCTAGCATGTCTAGTAATAGTGCTGTTTTTTTTAGGGGGGGGGGGGTTAGTGTGTTTGTGTGTAACAAGAATACTCAGGGAAGAAGAGGTTATCAGTTTGAGAATGGAAGTAGCTGGAGGAAGGGGACTTTGGAGGGGCTACAGGAAAAGGAAGGGAGAAATGTGAAGTGATTATGTTTTAGCTTAAAATGTATACAAAATTTAAAAAAAAACAAACAAGCAAGGCTGTGGGTCCATTCTCACAGCCGAGCGAACAGAGGTCAACTGGGAATATTTCACTCCTATCTTTCTATGGTGAGAGGATGACAATAGCCCACTACAGTCCTGTGCTGGATGGAACCTAGGAAGACTCCTGACTTCTTTCAGTGGAAAATGGCAGAGAGGCCAGCTCTGATGTGCACTGCACAGCACACTCTGGGTAGACACCCCTCATCAGTCCACCTTAGAGAACTAGCCAGTAAGTGAAGCCCCTCATTCAAGGTCACATCTATTCCCTGGGATCCAAAGTCCCAGCCCTCTTGCTCCAGCTCAGAACAACACTGAAGGACCATTCCCACCCCTGAGGTTGCTATGAACTTGTTTTGTCTGTCCAGAGAGTGCCTTCCTTATCCGTTCATGTCTTCTCCCTCCTCCTTCAATTCAGGTCATTCTCACAAGCACTCCCTAGGATATAGACTTTCCATTGATCTTCCCATCAGAGTCTGAGTTCTAAAAACATAGGATACAATACTAGCAAGAAGTTCTAGATCAGAAATCAGTAAATTACAGGCAGACTATGTCTGGCATACCATTTGCCTTTATAAATAAAGTTTTATTGGCAACAGCCAAATCAGTCAATGCATCACAGTGCTTTCCCACCAGAACAGCAAAGCTGAGTAAATGTCATTCAAATCAGAGGGTCTGTGAAGATGGATACACTTTCCTTTATAAGAGGAGGAGAAGGGTGAGAGGAATAGTGAGAAGGAGAGAAAGAGAAGGGTAGTAGAAAGCCGCTTGTTCATTTCTCAGCAGCCCAGACTCCTGAAATAATCACTCAGAAACTGTAGTAATAAAATCACTGTTTGGCCTGTTAGCTTGTGCATATTTCTGCACAACTCTTACATCTTTAACACATTTCTATTCATCTGTGTATCGCCATGTGGCTGTGGCTTATAGGCAAGGTTCTGGCACGTCTGTCCCTGGTGGCAGCTCCATGGCATCTCCTTACTCTGCCCTCTTTCTCCCAGCATTCAGTTTAGTTTTCCCTGCCTACCTCTATTCTGCCCTGTGCAAGCCCAAGACAGTTTCTTTATTAACCAATGGTATTCACAGCATACAGAGGGGAATCCCACATCAGACAAGAGAGGGAAGAGGAGATAAGAGGAGGAGAGGGGAAGAGACAGGGGAAGAAAGGAGAAAAAAGACGGGAGGGGGAATGAAGGGGAAAGAAGAGAAGGGGGACAAGAGAAAAAAAAGATTTACAGGTTGCTTCATGTAAGTCTAGATCATCAGAGGAAGGAAAAACATTTTCAAAATAATGTTTCTTCCCAAGCCTTCTGATCCCTCTAGAAATAAGTCCCTTGGGATGAGAGAGCTGGATCCAGGAGGCCATCTTCTTCTCAGGTAAGCCTGATGTGTAAACAAAATGAAGCTCGCTCACTACAGACACCTCATGCCTCAGAACACAAGCAGACTTGATATCCACGTGGTGGCCTGGCAGGAGCGTCTCCCTTCCAGCTATGCAGACTGGTGCCTTTAGAGCAGTGGTTCTTAACCTTCCTAGTGCTGTGACCCTTTGATACAGTTCATGTTGCAATGACCCCAACCATAAAATTATTCCATTGCTACTTCGTAACTGTAGTTTTGCTACGGTTATGAATTGTAATGTAAACATCCAATATGTAACCCTAAGGGGTTGTGACCCACAGGTTGAGAACCACTGTTTAATCACCACGGGCCTACTGAACCGGAAGGCCCACCACAAAGCAGGAAGTCAGGCGAGCAGGTGTGGGCGGAGCATTCCTTAGTCTTTTCTTCAATATCAGCTAACACTGTATCTTGCTTTCTGTCTACTCGGATGTCTCAGGATGGAAGAGGGCTTCAGAGCTGAACCACAGGACCAAACAAACTAGGCAATACTTAGTGTATCATAATCAATAGAGGAGCAGTCATACACACGGTGATGTCAGAACCATTTGGATCAATATGAAACCCCACAGAGCGGTACCAAGACCCAAATTTCAGATCGAGAGCGATCTCGGAGCTGATGAGCTTTAGCCAAATCAATAACACAGAAACCCATTTGTAGCCCACTGGCCACCACCCCAAGATATGTTCTTAAGCAGTCTTCAAATACCACCTTCTACGGTGACAGTAGAGACGGGCCCACTACTGGACCCCACCAATGCTGGACTACTGTGCTGAGGATTGTTGCTGGCAAGGACACAATAGGAGCCATGGACACAGCTTTGGCACTGAACGGACACACGAACTTGGGTAAGTCGTTTAATTTTCAAGCCTTATTTGTCTTGTCTGTAAAAGAAGCTTAACTGATACGTGCCCTACAGAACTGTCTAGATGATTTAAAAGAGTGGCTATAAACCAAGGTCTAGTACTGTGGATTTTTATAGCACACACCATGATTATTCATGATGCTGATAATGAGTACAAGGGTGGTAGCAGTGGTGAAAGTTTACCTCGCTACAGGGGCAGAGATTTGTATGGTTTTTGCCTCGATGGTGCCAGCAGGATGCTCACTAACAGTGAAGGCAAAGCACCAAGGACCAACGATGTATGCAAAAAGAAAACCGATCCTTCACCTCACTCCCGAGGAGAAGCAGGCGCCCATGTGTCTGCAGGGATGTTTTGTCCTAAGCAGACAGGACTATCTTCTGTTTTACATGACGTGGCTGCATGTAACTCATCTCTCCTCATTTCAGGAGTCTTCCGGAGTGCATGCATCTCTTCAAGGCTTACCCAAGAATAACATCTGTAGAACTTTCTATCCAGTGACCTAATGACTACAGCCAAAACTGTCTTGACTTTGTCTACGGACTCTCCCACGCAGCATCTACAAAGGCAGCTGGATGTCAGCAAAGCCAGCTCAGAGGGGCTCCTGCATGAAAGGGGTTTGGATGAAAGGAGTTGACTTCGGACACTATGAAGGATGATGCCCATTAATAGTGTGGGTAGCCACAGGAAGCCATCAAGAATGCCTCAGATACAGTTCCAGTTACAGACAGGAAGATGCACGGGTCCTCTGAGTCTTAATGAGCATCGCCACGGTCTGAGAGTACTTGCATTAGGCTAAAAGGCTCTGTGAGGGTAGCAGCTGAGCTCGCAAGTACACCCTGGGATGATGGTGTGCCCTGTACCAGGACAGAATGGGATCATTAGAACTAGTGGGCTGTCACTCATGCTCGCAAATGGCGGGCAGGAATTCTGCAGCAGGCTTTCTCATTATTCAACAAGAAAAGTCGCTCACTGAAAATCAGTGTAGAAAGATACAAATGAGAGTGTATGCAAACCAGGTAGGTAAATGCATGTGTGCGTGCACACATCCTCAACAGAGACACATGGCCCAAACACTGAACCAGCCTCTCTTTTCCTGCAGCACCACTTTTCTAAAAGACACATGGGTCTCTGCTTTCCTTTGGGCCCGAGGGCTAGGAAGTATTGCTTTGCACATCTCCTCAATCCTTGATGTTTTCTGTGGTTGTTGGCTATTCAGGTAAAAACTGCTGACACTCACACGGTACTTCTTCCCTTTGGAAGGCCCATCTGGGGCTGATAGAGAATGGGAATTAGCATTAAGCTTGAAGACATTCACGGACGCTAATTACTGAGAGAACTACACAAGCTCAGAGCGGTGGTGTCGCTGTCCACATTCATGGAGCCAGAACAGAAGAGAATGTGCTCAGGGCTCCCCGAGTCTTTGTAGCTTTCTTCAAATGATAGGACGAGGCCCTGTGATTTAGAATCAGGCTCTAAACGGGAGCCTCTACAATACATTACTGTTCTGATGGATGTCAGCCCCACAGGAGGCAGAACTAACCTCCCCTAACCCACCTAAGCAAGCCCTTTACAGCAACAGCCAGCCTCTTTACGAAGTCAGAGGGACGCCACTCTGCTCCAAGATGGGTGTCTTGCGATCCGGTTCTGCTTATTTTCAAAGAGCCTTGGGTGAAATTTTCTAAAAATCCAAGTGATTATTCTATACCGTGAGACAAAGCGTCAAGTCGTGCTCACCACAGAATGCAGTTTCTCTATTTCTGGAATCGTCATCAATAAGGAAGATGAAGTGCCCAGCTTGAGTGCTTGCCTTAAATACTAAAGCGGAGTTTATCTTTGTAATGCGGAATGGCTGTTTGTGTCTTTCTGCTTGCAATGAGCCTGTTGATTCTGGCATCTCAATCACTTAATCAATTCAAAAGCTATATTGAACTTACTTTACAGATCTCTCAGCAGCCAATATATCTACCCTTGTTAAAATTAATTGCATCACTTAACATTTCCACACGCATTATAGCTTTAAGTGTTTCACGGTCATTTTTTATTAATTAATAAACCCTTAATGGACAAAAATTCATACTATAAAATTATTATGCATATGCTGCGTTTTCAGTTTTACTATTATTTCTTTGAAATATTTTCCCCAAGTGGAAAGTCTATGACTCATAACGCAGTCACTCTCACAGAAAGTACAGGACTAGAAACAGAAGTTTACTCAGAGACAGAGAAATCTGTGCCTCTTCCCTCCCTCTGACAGACTCACTTCCTCTCCTGAAAGCCAAGGGGTCTCAGGGAAGCCCACCTGGGAGAGTCTGTCTGGCCCTGAAATCACAGAAATAGAAACAAATCCCAGCCAGGATCCTCCAGACACAGTTCAGGACACGATTCCTTTTGCTGCTGTTTGGGAAGGAGCATTCCAACTTTCCCATTAGAAAACATGCTGTAATTATTACATATGCGCATGTGCACTCGCGCGCGCGCGCACACACACAAATGCACATACACAAACACACGCACCCTTCATTCCATTATAGAACCCAGGTGCAGTTTTGAAATGTTGAGGCTAACACATTTATCAATGGCGTGATTGAAAAGTGAAAAAACTTAGAATTCTAGACAATCTCTCAACGTTCAGGTGTTGGACCCCTGAAGAGTTTTTTTTTTTTTAAAAAAAAATCTGGGTGGTGTGGCATTTTATTTGACTTACCCTGCTCTGGCATGTGCTGTGAGCACGACTCTATGCTATGGGAGCCACTGTTTGCTATGGGTTGCCTGTGTGGCCTGACACTTATCTTGCTGGGACAGGGAACTTGAGTGAAGGTCTCTCACTATCTCTACACGTCTTATCTGAGAACAGGTTTCCAATCAGACTTCAGCACCAACTTGTGAGTTGTTGACTTGAGGCAGAGACAACCAAATGCTCACTGTGAACACGCTACTGGGATGGGTGAACAGAAGAAAATCAACAGCACTCTCTTAGCCCAACACTGACATTGGGCCCCCTCCAGCAAGGGGACAACTACTCACCTGCCCGGTAACTCCAGCCGGGAATATGGATGGAGAGTTGGTCGGCATGGCTGCTAGTGGTACATGTGGCAAGCTCCTCTTTCTCCTTTTTCACTGGGACCTGGTTCCTTCTCACATCTGCAAATTTGACTTTTTCCAGGGGAGGGGAGCTAGTCCGAGGGCACGTGCCACTCCCCAAATGTACTGGCACCAATGCTGGGCTCTCCTTCCAGTGACCTTCCTGCCGCTGGCCCAACTGTGGACCTAGGAGGTCCTGCTTTCCCTCCAGAAGCTCCCGCGGCAGGGCTCTGCTGATTGGCTCGCCATTAGCTGTGCTGTCTACGCCATCTGCTGTTAACCTGTGGGAACTACAGCGGAGGCTGAGAGACAGGACAGACCTGTGGACTTTGGGGCTAGCAATCTGAGGTTGCTCAAGGGGGACAGAGAGCGATTTGTCCAAATAGTAAATGGCATTGGGACACTGCTGAGACACCCGGAGGTGGACACATGAACTGAACACCAGTGGCACTCTTCTTGATGGTGAACTGTCTGAAGAAAAACTGTCCTCTTTGTCACCCATGTGGGTGATCCAGTACTCCTGCCTTGCACACAGCCTCGTATGAGCCTGGGGTACCTTCATCCCCTCTATGGAGCCACTGCTGGGGAACTCTGTACAGGTCAAGGATCCGCTGTGCTGACATAGATGGGTACCACTGGCCAGAGCTGGGGGCTCTTGGAGCAAAGCATCCTTGGCCCTGCAATTGGGATATAGTGAGTCCCTAACAGTGTCCCATACTAAGGAGTTGGCCGGAGGGCCTACACGTCGTGCAGTGATGGTGATAGATGAGAACCCTCTGTGGGGGCCTCTGCCCAGGTTGTCCCCCGTGGACAGTGGTTCTGTCTCTAGTCCTTGCTCATCTGATGGAGTCAGAATTCCCAAACTGTCTGGAGCAAATGACCTGTACATGGTCACTCCACTGTGCCTGTCCGAAGCTGGCTTGGGGGGACACAGTTGAGGCTGAGCGATTGCTTGTGGCAGAGGCAGCAGGGCTCCGTTTTCCATTGATTTCCTCTCATCAATCAGCTGGGAAATGATAGGTGATATCATTTTTGTGTTTTGTGACGCCAACATCTCCTAGAAAATAGACAGAGACATTTTTAATTATTCCAGGAATTCACAGGAATACAGTTAGTAAACTCTCATGGGTCATGGGGATTCTGGGGAAGAAGCACTGAGATTTCTCAGTAAAGCCTTCAAGGCTCCCTTGATACCAAATCTGAGCATTCTGAAGAGATGGAAACCTGGGTATGTTTGTGGGGAAGTAATGTTCTTAGGGGAAGGGCAGACTCACTCAGCTGGGTGTTGGTCTTAGTTTGTGCTCGATCAGTGGGGACCCTCTGACTGTGAGAGTTGCTTCTGCCTGACCCTGGAACCCCAAAACAAAATCTCACAGCCTCGATAGGGAAGGGAGGCAAAATGATCCAGGTGGCTAGGAACTAGAGTTGGGGAAGTGATAGTCCGTGGCTCAGCACTTTGGTGATGGTCTCAGTAAACGTAACAAGGGGCTGCCTCCCTAGTTTCTTCTCTCACAATCTTCCATCTTGGCCTGTTAAGGCTAATTCAGTTACTTTCTGCTTGCTTGGCCTCACAGAAATCCAAGCTCAGAGAACATGACAAGGGGAATCAGATGTTCAAGTTCAGTTTCCCAGACTAGCCAACCAGTTGGCTTTTCTCCCCAGAATGGGGTGCACCAAAATGGATGTATCCCAGCACACAGAGTATAGCTGTAGCTCAAGACCACTCTTTGAGGAGCTTTCGTCTATGTTTTAAATGGCCAAGGAACTGCATGCCTCCTAATTAGCAGTTCCCCAGTTCCTATGGAAATCACTGCCATGTGCAGAATAAGGCACTGTGCTTTTTGGCACTGGCTCTAACCAGATTAAGAGCAAGGAGGAGAACCCCTCTGCTCTTGCTGTTTTCATGGACATGTTGAATACTGCGGAAGACTGAGGGCAGCCCAGCAATTAGTGTGCACAGAGCCATGTCTCATTTTTTAATGTGTCCAAAATGAACTTGTATACAGAACCGCAGAGATGCTGAGATAATGGTAAAAACTATAGCCTTGGAAGCCAGAAGGCCTCACGAGAGTGCTCAGCATTCAAGGCAGCAGATCTCAAAACCCAGCATATCTAAGGACCACCTAGAACATTGTGAACACAGGTTCCCCAGGTCTAACATCCTGATGATGAAATCCACAGTAATCTGTACACTGCAGTGGTTCTGATGGAGGCCATGTAGGGAGCATGACCAGAGTCACATCTGGCCTGCTGTTATCTCAAGGATGCATTCACAAGGGGCGGGCCTAGGTCCATGGAAGCCTGGGCTTTGCCTTTCCCAAGATGTTAGAAAACAAGGATTTGCGTCCCCTTTATTGCATGTTTAATATTTATTTATTTAAATCACTGAGCATTCTCCTCCCTCAGGACCTGGGACTCTGCACATAACATGTTGATAATACAAGCTGGAGTCAATTGGGAAAAGGATTCTCCATTGGAAAAATGCCTCCCTAAGGTGGGCACATAGGGTGGACCCGTTCCCTATGCTGTATTACCTCACCCAGCCGTGAAGTAAGGGAGGAGCTAGGTCTTGCCTCAACTTGATGTGCGATGCTTTGTTTCAAGCCTGTGGAAGGTCTGCCCCTTTCTGAATGGAGATGGAGGAGGAGGGGTTGATAGGGAGGGGTGTAGATGGGAAGAGGGGGAAGGGAAAAGGAGAGGGGGGAGGGGAAACTGAGGTTAGTGTGTAAATAAATGAAAAAAATAATGCTATTTAAATAAAAAAAGATGGGCCTATAGGCAAGTCTGTAGTGCCCATTTTCTTAATTGATGATTGATGGAGGAGAACCTAGCCAACTGTGGGAGGTGCAACCCCTGCACTGGTGTTCCTGGGTGCAGTAAGGAAACAGACTGAGCAAGCCATGGGGAGCAAGTCAGTAAGCAGCACTCTAAATAGACCAGGCTGGCTTTGAACTCAGAGCTCTGCCTGCCTTTGCCATCCGGGCCCTGGGATGAAAGGCGTATGCTACCAAACCTGGCTCCTTCGGTTTCACTGTCCCTTTTTACTTTTTAAAGGTATTTAAGAAGTTGCAAATTTCAAAAGCTAATCAGAGATGGGGGAATAAATAGGGAGTCCATTTTAAACCTCCTCTGGAGTTTATAAACAATTAAAATCTTTTTGCCTCCTGGACAAGGATAGCACTCGAAGCTTCCCTTCCAGTCTTACTATCACCTTCCAATTCAAGGTCAACAGTTCAAGGTCACCTAGTGGACTCTCCAGTTGTGAGCAGAGCTGCCTCCCTGGCACCTCTGATAATATGGTACAAAACAATTACCCGTAGCCTGCAAACCCCAGAGGCCCATGCCTTCATCTTAGACAAATCAGTAGACTCTAGCGGGCTAGAGCGGGGCTGGAGGCAGGAGTCACTGCCTTTAGGGCTTCTGTGTCTCCAGCAGGCTTCCTGTCTGCTGTGGGACTCCCCCTACTCTACCCCTCTCCTGGCAGCCTTCCCAGGCCTGTGATTTGCATGCAAGAACATGACAGTGCACCTGGAGCCCATTTGACAGGTCACAGTCCCCCCCCCCCCATTCTAGCTAAATTTAGCTCTGAGAATAATTATTCCTGTGCACCCCACGATGGGTGTAATCACACCCAGTGGGAATTCCTTTGACATTGATCTTTGTAGAAAACAAAAACCAAAACAAAACCCAGCTTGGAACCTGCGGTGTTGCTTTTACTCTGCAGGGCAGAGTTTGAACCACTGACAAATTGCCCTCAAAAATCTCATGGGCTTGGGGTAGAGATCCCTGAAGACATTGGTCTCCAGGCATAAGTTGAATCAGGACCTGTGGGTACGAGGTCTAGAATCTGTATTTGTAACCAGCTCTTGGGTGACCCTTAGGGGTGTGTGGATATGGAGGAAGGATGTTGAGCTGACTTAGGTGACCCAGGACCTATCCTGACCTCAGAGAAGCCTTGATTTGCATAGCTGTAATCAAGAAGATCAAAAAGAAGTCTGTTAAGATGTACCCTTCCTGGTACTGGAATCACCAATGTCAAAGGGCCCCCATCTTGGGTTCAGGCTCCTGTGAGAGTCTGGGCCTTAGAATTAGCAGGGCTGGATTGCTAGTAATAAAGAGTTGCCAGTTCAGCTTGGAGCTCCACAGAAAAGACCCTGATATTGGCAATGACAGTCTGGTTCCCCCGGCAGAGCTCAAGGACATACTTGCTGAGGGCTTCCCTAGGGCCACAGGCCTTGGGTATCATTGCAAAAGGACCCAGGGTCCCTGGAGAGCCTGGCTAAAGAGCCAGCTGCCGGGTTCACCAGCGGAGGCCTGGAAAGTATGGCTGTGATTTTTTTGACTCCATCAGAAGAATGAGGAAAGGGTGATAATGAGAAGTGTGAATCTGAACTTGTTCCTCAAGCTCCTGTGTAATTCAGGGTGACACCATTCCTGGGCTAAGACACGCTGGCCAGCACCAGGCCCGGGAACAATTGTCTGCCTTCTCTTCTTCACAGGGAAGGTGTGAAGAACAGAAAGATATGACAGGGTGGCAGTGTCTCTCAAGTCGTAAGCCTTGCTTTGGTTTCTTCTCTGCTACCGTAATAAAATACCAGGATGAAAGTAATGGAAGGAAGGGAGGGCAGGAGAGAGGGAGAGAGGGAAGGAAGGGAGGAAAAGAGGAAAAGAAGGAGGGAAGGAGGGAGAGAAAGGGAAGGAAGGGTAGGAGGGTACATTTAGCTCCAAGTTCAATGTACAGTCCATCACTAGTAGTAGCATCTTGAAGTAGCTTGTCACACCAAGGCTGCAGTATAAAGGCCCAGAATCCAATCCATGAAATGGTGCCATCCACAATTAAGATGAGCCTTCCCGCATCAATAGACTTAAGAGAATCCCCTAAAGGTTTGCTCAGAGTCCCATTCCCGAGTGATTCTAGGCTTTGTCAAACTGACAATTAACACTAATTATTACAGGCATTTGTATAAATTACTTTTTCCTTGACTCAGCAGAAATTAGTAGATAACTGATATGATCAAAATAACAGAGGCATCTCATCCAACTTACACTTTCCAATAACTACTTTTTGGTGTTGTTTGTAACATTACAGTTATAGGCAAACCATCTGTTTAATGATCCAGATGACAAATATTTATTGAACACCTATTAATACTACATGCCAGGTGCATGTTGAGTAACAAAAACCTTAGTGGTCTCCTGGAATTAATAGGCTGGAGGCAATATCCAAATGATCAGGACCATCATTAGATTGAATATTAACCAAAGATCCCCAAAACACAAGTAGAGAGGTTAAAAAGGAGATGAGGGGCTATTCACCCTTTAGCATATACAATACTTCTGTAAGGCAAGTTTTATTTATCAAATCTCATTTTTTCATTGAGACCAGTAGATAATCAAATAGAATATGCAACCTAGGGCTAGGGAGACAGCTTGGTTAATGAAGTGTTTCCGCACAGGCATGGAGTTTGAGTTTGGATCTCCAGCATCTGTTGACAGTAAACATGGCTCTGTCTAGTAACTCCACCATGAGGCTAGACTCTCAGAAAGCTAAGGAATGGGGTAGATCAGCCATCAAAGCCATGGCTTTAATCCTAGCCATATTGCTTAGCAAATTAAAGACTCATGTGATCAGAAAAAGAGATATACAGTAAAGATAGATTAAAAGATGAAGAAAACCTCTAAATGGTTTACAACTTGTTTAAAAATATATGAAGGCTTGGGAGAGAAAAGAAAAAGGATGAAGTCCTTAAAAAAGGGGGTGAGAGAAAGAGGAGAGAGAGAGAGAGAGAGAGAGAGAGAGAGAGAGAGAGAGAAGTTGGATGTGGTGGCACACACCATTAATCCCAGCACTTGGGAGGCAGAGGCAGGTGGATCTCTGTGAGTTCAAAGACAGCCTGGTCTACAGAGTGATTTCCAGGGCAGCCAAAGATAAACAGAAAAACCCTGTCTCAAAAACTTAAAAATTAAAAAGGAAAAGAAAAAATAGAGTTTAAAGTAAAGTCATGTTAAAGATGGAAAAGACACAAAGAGTCTGGACACTGTATGTTATTGTGTTGTCTTTGAATTGTTTGAATGCTGAGGAAGGAGCAACAGCTGCTAAAAGACATTTAATTATAAATGTTACTGGATTAATCCAACATACATATTTTGAAAATGCCTTGACTTCAAATTTAAGTCAAAAGTTATGTTACTTTGGAGAAGAGGTTTTGCTTTTGTTTCCACAGGAAATGAGAGGCTGTGGATTCATTCTGGGTTAAGAAAATCACATTTGATCAAGGAAGACTCCCCCGCCCTGAGAAATCTGCAATAGGAGCAGATGACCCAGATGTCTGAGTTCTACATGCAGAACACTTTCAAGACTGCTGGCTGAGATGATCAAGCCTCACAGAATATTCCAGTGAGGACTTGATCATAATTCTAAATTTTCTTTAGGTCCCTATAAGATTATCAGCACCCCCCATCAGCAGGAAGTATCCTGGGAAACAACACCCACATTCCCAAAATAATGAATTATAAATGTTTGTCTTTCTTTAAAGTATTGATTACAAATTGCTATGGATAATTGTCAGGAAAAAAGCTAAGCAAAGGAAATTAGATTCAGAGTTTTTGTTTTGGAAAAAGATGGGGGATGTGGGAAGGGCTGTGGAACAATGGTCTTCTATCCTGTAAAGATTTGTTGCTTGCATTGCTTTAACAAAATGCTGATTGGCCAGTAGCCAGGCAGGAAGTACAGGTGGGGCAACCAGAACAGGAGAATTATGGGAAGAGGAAAGGCTGAGTCTGCAGTCATCACCCAGACACAGGAATCAAGATGAGAATGCCTCACTGATAAAAGTACCAAGCCACGTGGCTAACACAGACAAGAATTAATTTAAAATGTAAGAATTAGTTAATAAGGAACCTGAGCTAATACCGTTTATAATTAATGTAGACCTCTGTGTGTTTCTTTGGGACTGAACTGCTGCAGGACAGGGTGGGACAGAAATCTCTATCAACAAGCACTCACATAAAAAGCAAGACATGGCTGCATGTACCTGTAACCACAGTGCTAGGAAATTAGAATTAGAACCAAGAGGATCCCTGGGGCTTGTTGGCCAACTAGTCTAGGAAAGAGGATGAAGACTCCATCTCAGAAAATGACGTAGGAACCAATCAAGGAAGATATGAAATCAACCTCTGACCTCTGCATGGACAGGTGAATGCAGCAAACAAACACACACACACACGCACACACACATGCACACGCACACGCACACGCACACACACACACACACACACACACACACACTGAGAACAAGGGACAAGTTATAAAAGCACAGATTGTCTCAAATCAAGCTATTTTGGAAGGACATTCCCTCTGTCTTTTAAAAAAAGCCACTAAAGGTGGCTTTGAAGAGAGACAGCTTTCATGTAAAATAAAGTTGAAAGATGTAAGACTAGATTTAAAAGGATGAAGAAACCATCTGGTACTGAAAGGGATGCATGTTCAAGGTGAGTGACAGCCGGGCTGGGTTTGAGTCTGGTTTTGGTGACAGATCGTCTCCTGACCAGTGTCTTCCAAGATAATTCCTGCCATCTCTTGCTCATAGATACTACGATTGATTTCTTTTCAATGTTTTAAGATAATGATTTATTTTAAACATTTCCAGCCGGATTTTGTAGAGCTGGTAACTCTTTGCATGCTTCTTATCGACTCTGTTTGCTTTTTATTTATGCCTTAAGGCATCTGACTAAGAAGGGCATCGTTTGCTAAATTGAAATAAGAGGGAGATAAGTGGCAGGTACTCAGAGCAATCCTACCCCAAGTCACTGAGGTGAAAATGACTTTCTTCCTGCAGCAATTTATATCTCCAAAGGAGAAGCATTCAGTCTGCGCTGGACCTTTGAAATATGTATTTTTCCCCCTGGATGAGACAGTTCTTTGCTTTGCCAGTATCGCTCTGCAACCCATGACTATATTTCCCAGATCTTCGAATCTATCTCCTCACAGATACCCGCTGCCACTGTTACCTTCACCCGCTGCAAACCTGCTGACCCTCATAGAGCAGACCTGGAAACATCCTTGCTGAGTAATCTATCAACCCAGTGCTACCGTGTCCTGGATACAAGGGCAATTCAGTCTTGCATTGACTCTGCTGAGAAGCAACGGGGACTCGGGGCTGCAAAAACAAACGGGAAATGGGAGCTCTGCTCTCTCGTTATGGTGAAGCCTTTGTCTTTCTGTGCAGTCGGTAAAAACCAGAGGACTCAGGTGGGTTACACAGCAGTAAGAAGCTGGCTAGAATCAACCTCTCTCTCATGTTTTCATTACGGTTAGTAGATACGAGAGTTGCCATCTTAAGCATTCTAAGTGCATGTTTCCCTGCTGTCAAATGCATCCTATAATGCTGTGCAGCCCTCACCATCCATCTCCAGAACTCATCTCATAAAGCTAAAATTCTGTTCCCATTAAATAAAAAGTCCCCACTCCCTCCTCCTTGCGGCCGCTGGAAACCAACAAGAATCAATGCTTTTAAGTAGGGGGAAGGCAGTCAGTAAACCACAGGATGTGCTATTGCTTCTCATAATCTGAAGAAATTAAAAATAAAAATTAGAAACCCCTTAAACGACACAGGAATGTTGGGATAGTGCTTGACTGAAGAAAGCCATGGAGGTTGATACGTACTTTTAAGGCAGCCTTTTCAAACACGGGGTAAATAAGGAAAGGATATGTAACTGATACTTTCTTTTGTATATGTTTCTGTATTTTTGTAAGTTTCTTACTTGTGTTTGTGCATTTGCATGTGTGAAGATGCACCAGCACATGTGTGTGTGTGTGTGTGTGTGTGTTTATGTGTGTGTGCCGAGAATGAACCAGGTTGTCTTTCTCTGTGCTCTCTAGGACAGGGTCTCCTACTGATCCTGGAGGTCAGCAATCTGGCTAAACTGGCTGCACAGTAGATTCTAGCACCTCCTGCTCCACTCTACTGTGCTGGGGTTATAGGTGCACACCACTATGCCTGACTTTTGTGTGGGTGTTGGAGATCCAAGCTCAAGCCCATGTTTGTGAGGCATATACTTTAATGACTGAGGCATCTCCCAGCCCCTATTTCCCTAAGTTTCTTTATGATACTGTCATTAACTTTAGTATAAGGACAACTTGGATTCATATATGTATGTAGGTATGTATATATTAGAAGCGATTGTGGTCCATGTTTTACTTGCTTTTAAGTGGGAGGAAGGCAGTTAATAAACCACAGGATATGCAATTGCATATATATATATATATATATATATATATATATATATATATATATGAAGAAGTGATGATTGTGGTCCATGTTTTACTCTTAAACAACCACTAGGCAGAAGAAGCATGGCTTCTTATCATTGCTCCAGCCTTGAGTGTTTTGGAAGGGAAGTGATCAGTCTTGTGCAGGCTCTGGAGAGAGGCTGAGAGCTAGGGCACTAACCCAGGCAGGGAATCTGCTAGAGGGTTTCATCATTTGGCGGTGGCATTATGACACACACAGGACAACCTTTCAAAGCTCTTGGTTAGGAGGAAAATTAGAAAGTCACACTATTAGATGATCCAGGCAATTCCAAAGCAGGGGTTGAGAAGGTGTGATTTCCAGGAGATGACTCAGTTACAGAGAACAACTGCCTCCCTCTCCTCTCCTCTCCTCTCCTCTCCTCTCCTCTCCTCTCCTCTCCTCTCCTCTCCTCTCCT